AAACTTTATTTCCAAAGCGAACAACAGTGTCGTCAGCATGCTCTATACTCTCATAAAGCACGCTACAATAAGCCAATCAGAATCCCTGTTAGAATGGTTCAAATAATCTGATTGGCTGTACAAGACTAAAGCTGTCAAAAGTGTCAAACCATCAAAGTTCACATACTACGATAGTTTACAAACTAAAATAGTTCGGCAGGTCGAATTTAACAGTTTTGCCTGAAGTTTTTAAGTCTCTAATACAGAATCTTGAAGTGAAATGTTCAGTGAACTTCAGCCGAGTTATGGCTCATAAAAATGCGAGTTTTTTCACATGACAAGGTAGAAAACAAACTGTTAAAGGCGAGTATTTTTTGAATGAACGACAGCCGAATTCACCGGAACATGAAGATCGCTCGGGATGACAGTGCGGAAAAACCCGGCTGCAGTGACAGATGTGACTTTCCACTCAACGCATCGGAAAGGATATCAGAATAAGCTCTTATTCTTTCACTAGAATGGCGGCCGATGTAGTTTCTGAGGCTTGCTTTATTGTGATGACCGGAGATTGGCATGACGAGCGAGCCGCGATGGACCTCAGCATGATCATATTCGCGCAGACACCGTCATGATTAGAATGAATTTTCACAGTTATGCTAGTTTGGTTATATTTTTCATCATTTCTGTTTTGTTTTTGAACACTGAACTTTATATACTATATGAATGTTAGCTGTGTTTGATTTTTATTTTCGTACGTAAGCTTGCAATCTAACTGAGCGTCAATCAATCTTTAAAACTCGGAATGTCTATTTTGTTTTTCCTTTGAGGATTTTCGTATCTGCTCACGTTTTAAAAACGTAAATTACGGCGCCTGGTAAGTTTACAAACCTTTGTTTGGTTCTTCTGTTGCTACTTGCCAGCTCGCTTGTTCCGAAATTTCACTTTCAATTATCAGAAAAAAGCTAAAAAGAAGTCCCGGAAAAGGTCGAACATGGTACAATTTGGCAGATGGCGTGACAGCTTTAGCTCAACTCTATGCTCTATACTCTCATAGAGCACGCTCTTTCAACCAATGACAGCGCACGTTATATCCGAACTTTATTATAATAAATTATAAGAGTTGTGTGACAATTTGATGGTCTGAAAAGACTCTTATACATGCCAAACAACAGAGAACCAGTAAGGCTGATATTTAACAGTGAGGATAAAAAACAAAATATTTCCAAAAGCCTTTTCTTTTCAGGAATAAGACTAAATGAGGTCAGATTAAACTAATGTGGAGAGGTTTGTTGATCTCTTTATGAAAATGGATGATTTACATCTATTAGATTTGAGAGAAATGAGACATGTCAAAAGGGGACTTTGACATTGCATATTCTGCAGTAATGGGCATTGGCTTGGATGCCTATTTGCGGAAATTAATAGTTTTCAAGCCAGGGGTTTGGCTGTGCTAATTTTAAGGCAGAAAAATCATTAATCAGTCACTTAAGAAATTTTATAGCTCTGACTGGAAGCTCAAACACTCCTAAGGAACAGGAAAAAAATTTCACCTGATCACTCCTCGTATTCTTTTCCCATGAAATTTAGACAAAACTTTCAAATAACTTTATTGGTAATTTTTATAGTTGCAGAAAAGGTATAGACACAAGTTGCATGTAGCATAAGCTAGTTAAGATCGATAATTTATACCAGTAGTAAGCTTCTGGTACTAATTACATTCTCTTGAATGCCAGCTTGCCACAGCAAATGTCACACCTTAGCACCGACCATATGTAGTGGGGTCTCTTCACATCTCCCTAAACAGCAGAGAATATAACAGTTAATTCCAATCATCAGTCTCAATTAAGAAATAAAAATTGAAGGATCAAGACTTATCTGGAAAGTGAAATGCAAGTCGAACTGGTTTGAAGACATTTTAACCCGAAATTCGTTTTTAAATATGACAGAAATACTGTAGTTCACATTCTAAAGAAACAAGGAGTTCCAGCCCCTTGAGTAATTATACATTTGTTGTATCGCTCATCTCATGCTTTAAGAACCAGGGAAAGTTAGATAATTTTGTTCTATTATCGTAACGAATTCCTCACGATCGCCTCTACACACCACTTCGTGATTCATAGAAGTAAGAAATCAACATCTTAAGACTAACCTTCAAGGTTTGTAGTCTCATGTGCACATCTTGATCGTCAGCAAATCAAATCTCAAACTTCAAGTTTTCGGCCTATTTTCGAGTTTTGTTCGCACTTTGATCATTAAAATATCCTCATCTGAAGAGCCAGCAAACTCCACGAGTATCCACAGAGTTAGAAATGGTGGTAAACTTGTCATACTCTTTCATCCCTTTCCAAAAAGTATCACAGAAAGGTGTCGATCGCTCAGTGGAAAACCCGCAAAAGCGCGCTAAAAATATCCAAATGGCGCCGAACAAACTATCTTGGCGCATGCGCAACAAAATGCCCCTCATACTCGCTGAAGGTCCTCGACGTAACCCTGGTTACCATGGATACAAAGCAGGTACATGGAGAATCAACCTGCCGCGCTAATGAATGCATTCCACGCAAAATTTTCTTTCACCACTCAGCCCATCTGGCTTAAATTTGACGATGTTTTCAAAGCAACGAAGCTGGTAACTGTTCATTCAAAATCAGACTTTCCCTGTCAGAACCGGTAAAGGGGCGAAAATATAACGCCAACGACGACAACAAAAGGCAAAGCGAAGTTCTAGATAAATCGAAACAAGCGAGCCAAGGGCTCGACTGATGAAAATAATTTCATTCATCTTCTTTTCTAATTTGTTTTTGTGGTTTGTTCTCGATGAAAAAAAGAACTTTCTGAGCCTCAACCACCTCAAAAGATCTGGAAGAGAATTAAAAACATAAAGAGTGCCTGGATCTGTACTGGATTAAGTACAGATCCATCCGTACTGAGATTAAACAAAAACATTTTAGACACAGGCAATGAATTAACATTTCTTGTTGATTTCAACGTGGTTAAGAGTTCCTTTCGCATAAAAAGAGGTCTTCAAGTCGCCGTGGGGGGAGGAGTGGGGTTGGGAAGAGGATTTTGGGGGAACATATGGTTTTCAGGGGGAACGGAGGGAGGGGCGGGGGTCAGTCATCGTCAAAAGAGTTTAAAGAGGGACTATAGAAAATCGACTGCCGATTGACTGCCAATGGGGAGGAGGAGGGGGCGGGGATCCAAGAAATTTATAATAAAGCCTTCTGGGGTCAGGTAAATTTTTTCGAGGCAAGACCAAACCCCTTCCCCCCTCCCACGCAAGCGATGTAAATTGACAGGTTTCTTAATTGGCGTTCTTCTTTCTTTCTGACCTGGCGTTGTCTGAAGCACACGTTCCATTCGATGTGAAAAGCTGATGGACTTCTTAGAGGGGGGAAATGCCCGTTGGCTCCGGGAAGTTACGAGGTTAAACAGAAGACACGCTCCATGCCTGACATTCCCATCCCATCGTTCCTAAAAATGTAAGTTTACAAGTTTTCTGTTTGATTATTTTTGCTATATTCGAATATTAAGTCATCAGGCGTGTTGTATCGAGGACAGTAAATATAGGACTTAGAGAGTATAGTGACAAGATAACTGGCACAACAACGTTGTAGACTAAGACTAAAAGAAACTAAAGTGTTAACATTCCCAAAACAAGAAAAATTTTAGAACTCCGTGATCCATGAAAACCAGTCTCAAAATTTACAGCATTGAGCTTTCACCGAGAACCAAATAAATAAGGAAAAGCATAAGCGTTTCTATGTCAAGAAAACCTGACTCTTCACGTCGACTACCCTGATTTATTCCCACTCTTCTCTTAAAGAACGTCATAACACGACGATCAGAAACTGTCTTCGCTTTCGTGAAATTGAAAACAAGTTTAATTTCCATAAATTGAAAATGTTTTCGAAAACATCTGAACATCACACGCTGCGCTGACACCTGTTTTCATTTTATTCTGGATAGATGGCTGAGGCTTAGACTAACTGTGTGCTACCTTTAAAAATTTTTAATTCTATTTTACGAATCAAATCTAACACCATCTACATATTATGAAATGACTGTTTAGCTTGGAAAACTGGAAACTCTTCGAAGACATATAAATTCTCCTTTCCCATAAGGTTTTGTAAATTTGTATTATGTAAATTCACTAGCACAGGAAAAAATACTCCGTTGGATGTTGACATGTTCAGCCAATTAGATGAGAGCACTTGTCCTTGTAGCGTTTAAAATTAAATCTGACCGCAGCATGTAGTTAACAGGCATTGGCTGCTTATTGTGTTTTTTACCTTTCAGTTTTCAAACGTCAGTATGGTTCCTTGCAGGGGGTTGCTTCAAAAATGATCAATTTATTTCATGTCAGGCGAGAAGTGCTTACACGGTTCAAATCAACGCCTTAAATCTTAGTTTTCAGAGAGCTTAAATATGCCAACGAGGCTTAAGAAAACAGGTGGAGGAAAAGAAAGCTGCTTACGACCATTCGGGAAACCCTTCACTTCGTATCCATAACATCACATAACTTCTGTTTTCCAGAGGAGGTATCGAAGTTGGCGGTTATTGCTTCCAATATGAACAAAACGTTTGAGATTTATCAATGCATCTAATTTTTTATGTTTCTACAGCATCTTAAACAATGACCACCCAAACCCGTCTTTGAGATCGAGGTCACATATACACAATGTATATGTATAAGAAAAACATGTGACTTGGTTACCCAAATATTAAAGGAGTGCGTGGAGAGTGTTGGTCGAAATGGAATTCTGCGACTTGCTTTTCGAGGTTGGAAAACGTGGAGAAAGGACAACGTTCAACGACCGAAAATATTCACAAGTTATGAAAGGCTGGAGAAAGGAACTTGGGCCACATTGTGAGAGAAGAACGCACTCTCCCACACTGACAGAAACTAAGGTGTTTCACAACAAACACCATAACACGATATTGACTAAAGATTAAATTTTTGCAACTCAATTTAGTACAAGAGGGGTCTTCATTTCCTCACCGCCATGTTGTGGTGAAAGAGATTATTCGAGAAGCCATTGGTTGTTCGAATGCTTGTACCCAGTCCTTCATCGAGTGAATCAAAAGTCCTGACGGTCCTGAAACGGCGAGGATTCCGATGTGAGGTGAGTATTAATCACAAGTAATCACAAGTTCTATTATAATTTCTTAAATTCAGGTTTCTAAATTTTGACACGATTAAGATTTAAAACCATTCCAATCATCATATCAGTTTTAGGGGACCTTTCCTCAAAGAATACTCACAGTCGGCTTCGGTCGGAACTTACTGTTTATAAAGCGAATATTGACATAGCTACGCCAATTATAAGTTTTCACCTTGTTAAATACTCCAACAGATTAAAGCGAGTCCCTTACTACATTGTACTTTGGAGGTAAATATGATAAAACGTAGATGAAGCTCTAACCTACTTAAAGAAGACTTGTTCAGGGCTCGTTGTGTTTTGTTTTAGGTCCTTAGTTGTCAGGAAAATGGCAGCACCACATCCACTGGTAAGTGTCTTATACCACTACTCATCTGAGAGGTTCAATATTATGGAACAGAATGACAGATTGTTACATAGATTCCAAGAGTATAAAGCATTTCTGTCAATTTTTAACTAAGTTACGTGGCTTCTTATATTTTAATTAGATGTATGATCATAATATTATTTATGTTATATTAATTTTGATGTAACACGACCCCACAAGCCTCTGGCTTGAAATGTTTATCATGTTTGAACAAAGGTTTTATTATTATTTATTATTATTGCTCACAATTTATGCACGGCAAAAATAGAGCCGGCCCAATAGTTTGAAAATGCTTTAAATGACAAGCAATATGCCCAACGAGTATGATCAACTAAAATGTAAATACTCATATCTGTTTGCATCTGTGCAATACTCAATTTTTTAAAAGTTTAATATCTAATTTTCTACTCTTTTGTGTCATGATTTGGTAATTAGGATATAATTAGGTATATTAAGTTTAAGTACGTTTTCGTTACTACACACACACTGGTATTTCTCCTAACCTGATTCTCTTCAAGTAGAAATTTTTTACTTTTTTTTTTTGTAGCATGTCTCCAATGTCTCTGCTCGCTTGGTTTCTGTCTGCGTTTGTTTTTATTTGTGTGTAATTTTCATTTTTTTTGCTTTGTTTGTCCTGATTACTGTATTTTAGTCTAAGTAAAGTGGGGAGGGAGGGGGGGTGGATCATAGTGAAAAGCCCCATGGTCTCAAAATAAGCCTCCTCGCCAGGAACAATGAATGCAGGAAAAATTTATATATATAAATAGAACACAGTTACTGAAAACTTAATATGCTTTATCAGTTGGTGGGCAGAGCGGTCATCTATTGGAAAAAATGAAAATTTGTTTCAATATTCTCAAACCGAACAAACTATCATTTTTGTAACACTTTATTACGCATTTATCCGGTGGAGGTGACATTACTTATTGATAACTATCACAGCAACATTTCCTTGTAACCATTCTTCATGGCGTTTCTTTACCACAGTTTCCAGCGAATGCACCTGATATACTGTCTGCTGAAATGAGTGGGATACCTGAAATTCTCGGTAACGTGCAGGTAAACCATGCTTTCCTACTACGAGTTAATTATAAAAATCAATCAGTGGTGCATAATTTTTTCGACTCGAATCTATTTTTACTGTTAAGGGTTTCAAATTCGCTCATTTTTATACTGTGCATCAACAATTAAATACTAACGTGCACCACAGCTCAAACTGAGTCAAAAGGCAGATAATCTAGATGTAGAACGTATGTGGAAGATTTAAGAAATCTGCTCACTAGTGCATAAAAATCTATTTGTTTTCAAAATTAGGATACTACGGGAATCCCCCATCCAAATGATGGAGGTTTCAGCCAGAGATCAAGGTAATTCCCTTTTGGTGGACAATGATTTATTGTCTATTTATTTTTCAAGGTGTAATAATGTACATCAATTTAAAAAATATCATAATGAAAAGCTTGATATCAAAGAAAAAGAAAAGTTAAAATAGATCAAGATTTTAATTTTTTCCCTCTTTTCTTATTTTTCAGAGACAGGGACATGAGGAGAAAAGTTTTGTTAGAGGCCATAAAGATAAGAGAATGGATATTAGTTTAGGTGGGTAAGGAAACATGACTTGCTCTTAAGTCCCCAACTTTAAACCTCAAACCCTCGCTGGTAATTGTTAATTAGAGAAACAAATAATGATGAGAACAACAAAGTTACAACTGAAATCTCCAATCAGTCCCTAATTCATAACACTGCACAAGATCACCTTCAAGAGGCCAACCAAGTAAAGCTCTGTGACAATCAATTGATTCGTACCCTTTGTTGAGCTCTAGGTGGGTACTCAAACAGTTTGGTATAATTTAATATATTTTAATGCAATTAGTGTAGTTCAGGGAAGTTTGGTGTCATTCGGTGAAGCCTGGAGTAAGGGGTGTAAGTTTCTAATTAAACTGTGGTGCTCCGTTGGTGGGAGAGTATAACAGAGTAACTTAGTATTATCAACCGAGTTGATAACGTAAATTGGCTATCGTAAAGATTTTTAAAGCAGAAGTTAGCCCTTCGTCAGATCTCTGAGAACAGAGCTAAAAACAAATGAAAATATTATCACCGCAAGTGTTCAGTGCTTGCTAGCCTAGTAAAGGTTTTCTTTTGACGACTAATTAAGGCTGTAATGTCTTAGTATAAGATTTCTTTATTTTATTTCACAGGAAACCGAAGAATAAAAGCAAGATATAGAAGTAATTGATTTTTCTATGATGGGTTACTATGTTGGGTTACTATAAGGATTTTCTGGTCAAAACTAAATTTGAGCTATTTATATATAATATTTTTAAAAAATAGGCTCTATCAAAATTTATGTCAATGAAAAGAGTTTTACCCAGGTCATGAGCTATGTTAGAATGAGAAGACTTCTCATGGCGGCGGGAACATCTCATTAAGATGGAATTCTTTTCAATCCCCAAATGTTTAATTAAAAGCTATTGTTTACCCACATGTTTTGTCCTGGTAATATGACAGAATATGCAAAATACAAAACGTTCAACTGCGATTATCTTCTAGCTTTGGGGTGCTAAAAGAAATGAAACTCAAGTAATCGCCTCTTAATGTTCATAAAAGTTTATGGTGCCCGAGCTAACCTCCTGCCGCCATTAATCCATTTAATATCTGTTCTTTGCAAACAAAGCTCAGCAATAGGCCATTTTATAGTTGTGTACTTAGTTGCCAAACTTCTGATTTGGAGTGAGGCGGAAAGTAACGGCGTTGTGATAGAGACCAGTATCTAGTTAGCTAAGTAATTTATATTTGAAAAGCAGCAACGTTTGTATCATCATAAGGTCACCCTTAGCCTCACTCCTCCTCAAAAGCTTGGCAACCAAACACGCAACTGTAAAATGGACAATCAACCAATGAAATACGTCAACGCAGTTTACCAAAGTATATGATTGGTTGAAATCAGTGTGCTTGAAATTAGCATGCTTTAGTAGAGTACAAAGCAAAATGACAATGACTGAATGAGTTTTGGACACTGAAAGCAAATGACTGAAATGCGACTAATTAAGAGCTTTAACCTTTAACTCCCAAGATCGCATTAGTAATTCTCCTAACTGTCTGCTTAATGATTCTCATTATGTTAGTTTGGAGAATTTGCTATCGGATCAATATGTTATTCCATAATTGATAATTTTCTTTATTCTCAACACTTGTCTGCATGATGTTGTATTGATATAGTAAGGAGAAATTCTGTCTTGGTCAATCAAAGGAGTTAAAGGGTTAAGAACCTGCACCTGATGTGCGAACTGGTCTTTGATTGGATGATAATTCTGAGCCTAATTAAATCTTTTAAAAATCATATCACAGAGGTAAATTCAGGAGGACTAAATCTTTATTTAGCTTGTGAAAATGAACAGACACTCCAAATTTTTGATTCGGTAAAAGGAAACCTCGCAGCAAGTTTCTCTAACCTCCCAATTCCACCCTGCCCTCAAGAAATTAAAAGTAGCAACAGTAGCAACGTCACTGTGATAACAGCATCGAAATGAGCTAAATAAAGAAACACAGATTTTATTGAACTGGATGGTAGTGTTACCAAGTGCTGTGTGAAAGTCGATGCATTGAAATATTCATTTACAATGCTGGTCTCAGTCATTTGCCATCGAGCGATATGGGTCATATGGCAGTGCTGCACTTAAACTACAGAAGGTTTCTTTATTAAAAGCCCTATTTGAGATTAACTTGAATCTGATGACGACATTTTTAAAGCAGCGAAGCTGGAAATTGTTTTATTCAAATTAGACTTTCCCCGTCCGAACCGGTTAAAGGGCGAAAATAGAAAGCCAACAACGACAATGAAAGACAAAGCGAAATTCTAGATAAATCGAAACAAGTGAGCCAAGGGCTCGACTGATGAAAATAAGTTAATCCATCATCTTTTCCTGTATGTTTTTTGTGGTCTTGTTCTCAAAAAAAAAACCTCGGTTTCTGAGCCTCAACCACCACGAAAGATCTTGAAGAGTAACCCAAAGAGTGACTGGATCTGTACTGGATTAAGTACAGATCCATAATCTATACTGAGATTAGACAAAAATATTTTAGGCATCCGCAATGAATACAACATTCCTTGTCGTTTTCAACGGAGTTACGAGTTCTTTTCGCATAGAAAAAAAGCTTTTTAAGTCGCGCGAAGAAAGCTTATAGTGGTTGTTACTTCAGAAGGTCCGATGGCGTTTCGTTATTGACAAGACTAAAGTGACGTTTTTGTCATTTAAGGTTGGAAATTTCCGCTAGTAGATAACCTACCATTTCCCCGCGGGTTATATTAACTAGAGACTCTCCCGTCCAAATCACCTCTAGATGTTTTATTTTGAACTTTTTTGGTTTACTTTTTGTTACGTAAAAGCATTCACACGCAAAAAAAAAAAAAAAAAAAAAAAAACGGAAAAACTAGAGAAAACTTCCAACCTCTCCACGAAGCACTTCCTCCCTTACTTATTATTCGCTCTATTTTGGCTTCACAGTTTATTGACGAAACTCCTGGCTTACTTAACAACTGGTGCTCGACCGTATAAGTTTAATTGTCCTAACATAGCACAACATAAGACCAGAACTCCATTCGGTGCTTTTATTCTTGGAAAAACACACTTCTCAACTGCACTATGTTTTCTACAGCTCTTGAAAATGTTATGGCTCTATCTTAAATCCCATGTCCTGGCCGATACAAGCAATCTTGACGAAATTGTTCGGCAGGTGAGTGTCTGTAATATCCACCTGAGTGCTCACTTTGGCACCAGTTAATCCGGCCTGAAAGGCAAAGGATAGAATTAAGAAAGAAGAAGCCTCTAAAATTTGCCTCGCTTCCAACGTGCGGCTTCGTAGTTCAGTTGAGTCAGTTGGTTGAAGCCGACCGATCAGTATCTGGATGGCACAGTTTTTGAATCCCATTTTTCGAGCGGCTCTTCGTTGGACAGATTCAATTTTGCTTATGTTATGCTGCCTATTGTTAAGAGAGTCGTCTAAATGGTCAAGTATCTCAGTGGAAGAGTTTGGTGGTCTATAAAAGGACGAGATGTATAATGTCTTCCTATTTGCAATTTTGAGAGAGGACCAAAGGGCTTCAAGATGAAATTCAGTAGAGTGTTTGGAGCTTTTAAGACCATCACAATAAATTATCATTCATTTTAATTTTGTTTTCGTGTTGCGCTTCGATGAACTCGTCGCTGGATTAGATCTTGGAAAATTATTTCCATTGTCAACCACAGAACCAGAAAGAATATCAAAAGAATTTGATAAGTTCAAAGTGTCTGAAGACAAGTCCAGAAGCGTAGGTGAGAAAAAACTTGGAAGGTCACAATCAGGGCAAATCCACGAGCATGAAGAATTTGCAAGTAGTTGGTATTCATCATAATTCATCCCCAAACAGCGGGTGTGAATCCAAGAATCACATGAATCACATTGTAATCTACGCCTCAACGGTGTTCTTTTAAAGGAATTTCAAAAGCTTTGACCCGTCTCGTAATCAAGAAACGTTCATTTTTTGCCAAAGAAAATTGGGATTTTAGAAAGTTTAAACTGAGGATACTCTTGGAATAAGAGCTGTCCCAAAAAACACCATACTTTCAGTATCACAGCGTCAGAAGGAAAAAATTTTTGATGCAATTCTTGCCTCCCCTCTCCGCTTATTATGAAAAGCTGAAATTGTAACTGTAGGTAAGTAGTTAAACGTTGGTGTAATTTATTACTTACAGTTCAAACACTCTGCGGGTTTAAGGGGTATCTTTCATCAGAGGCAAAGAAGTAAGGGGGGGTGCACTTTATAAGTAGAGTTTGCAAGATGATGGTATTACCAATGTAAAGGCATAAATCTATGTTATTGTTTTAAATAAACTGACAATGAAAATTTTCTACGAATCGGTGTTGAATGGATAGAGCGAGCTACGAAGCGACTTAAAAAATGAGTTAACTTTCTAACATGTTGCAGTTCAGATATAGGGAATGGATTTTGGGGGAACATATGGTTTTCAGGGGGAACGGAGGGAGGAGAGGCTTAATCACCGCCAAAAGAGTATAAAGAGGGACTATAGAAAGTTGACTTCCGATTAACTGCCAATGGGGGGAGGCACAACCAAACTCCTTCCTTCCCCCCCCTCCCACTCAGGCGATCTAAAGTGACCAGTTCCTGAATTGGCTTTTTTTCTTTCTTTCTGAACTGGCGTTGTCTGAAGCACGCATTCCATTCGATGTGAAAAGCTGGTGGACTTCATGGAAGGGGCAAAATGCCCGCTAGCACCGGGAAGTTACGAGGTTAAACAGCAGACGCGCTCTATGCCTGACATTCCCATCCCAGCGTTCTTAAAAATGTAAGTTTACATGTTTTCTAACCGGTTGGTTTTTACAGATTTGAAAATCATGTCATCAGGCTTGTTGCATCGTCTGCCACAACTGAAACATTACGCATCGTGATTCAAAATTACTTGATTCAGTTTAGTAATAACTTTTCACCGAAGTAGAGGTGGCTAGTGGTGGATATTTACCGAGCCACGAAGCGTTGAGGTAAATATCTATCGCTAGTCACCGACACTGAAGGGAAGAGGCACGACAACGTTGTAGACTAAGACAAAAAGCAACTAAAGTGTTTACATTCCCAGAACAAGAAAGGGTTCAGAACTCCGTGATCCATGGAAAGTTTGAATATTATTTACAACAGCGAGCTTTCACCGAGAACAAATTATAAAGGGAAAAAGCATAAACATTTCTGTGTCAAAGACACAGCTGGACATCACACGCTGCGCTGACTCCAGTTTTATTTTTAATCTAGATAGATGGCGGAGGCTTAGACTTACTGTGTTTTACCTTTAAATTTTTTAATTGTATTTTACAAATCAAAATGTTCCGTGACCTGTATGAGAAAAACATGTGACATGGTCACCCAAATATTAAAGGAGTACGTGGAGAGTGTTGATCGAAGTGGAATTTTGCGACTTGCTTTTCGAGGTTGGAAAACGAGGAGAAAAGACAAAGTTCAACGACCGAAAATAGATCCACAAGTTATGAAAGGCTGGAGAAAGGAACTTGGGCCACATTGTGGGAGAAGAACGCACTCTCCCATACTGACAGAAACTAAGATGTTTCACAAAAAACACTTTGACACGACATTGACTAAAGATTAAATTTTTGCAACGCTTCAATTCAGTGCAAGAGGGATTTTCATTTTCTTGCCGCCACGTTGCCGTCAAGCTTGATCGAATGCTAGTGTCCAGTCCTACACGTACTGCGACATTCGACATATTCGACACTCTTCAAGGCACCCAAG